AACAAACTTCTCTTACGCACGTACTACAGTGTCATCATCCCCCGCGTATCCCTGCGTGTTACGAAACTCTCGGCCGACATGTGATAGAGAAAGACTGACATTTAGCGTTAACTATCGTGAACCGTTGCTCCGTTTACGTGTTCCAACTGCGATTGTGGCTCCAGTGGTCATTATGCTCTCTCCGTAGACTTACGCTGCCCGTTCTCACGTCGTTTCAGATCGAACCCTCCGCTCTTTGCCAACTTTGATCAACAAGTTAGAATTATATTGCACGAGGGAACGAATCGGATGAGCATACTTCCTGATTATCAATCAGGAAGTATAGAATCATAGCACTAAATTGGGCCGGATCGAAAGTGAAAGATATGAAGATTGAACAAAAATTTGAAGATTATGATAAATGATAGCTTCTCTCGACATTTCCATAACTCAAGAAAAATAGAGCCTAAGAAAATTAAGAGATCCGTCATTATAATTAAAGTCGGGACATCTCTAATCAAATAAATCGAAAATCATCTTTCAAGAATAAAGTTAATAAAAAAAGAGGCAAGAAAAAAAATTCATTGAAATAATATGACGTATTTACATTTTAGTCTTTTCCAAGCAATTTTTATATTTATGACTTATCTGTAGATATTAAAACGCTTGCGAAAACCAGGTAAAACCAATACGAAAGTTTCTTGTCTTCTCTAAGACTGTACCAAGAATCTCGTTTCAATCATTATTGCGAGAAAATTTACGTAGAGAATGTGGTTAGACGATAATTCGTAATTCATTTGCGAAATTGCTCGTCTCAGCATCCCCGACCGGTTATATGCGCGAACGATCTCGCGCGACGAGAGAAGAAAAGGAAGAGAAAGACGGAAAAGAACGTCACCTTCCCCTCCGTTTACGTAACCGGCCCTCTTTGGCAGTCTGTGGAAGACGCGCGACCTTAAATTGCATTTGAATAAAGCAATTTGTGCACGCGCCGTAATCCAATTCGGCCCTCTCGCTAGTTTTCGCTACGCGAAAAGCACCGATAAATCAACCAGTTGCGCGGCGCATCGACCTCAGCACGCCCCTACGATGTAGCCATACGGCTTAATTTCGTTCGTAGAGCGCGCGTGTGGTACTTGGAGAGATCGGGAAAAAAAGGGTTTCGCGCGTACGAACGAAAAAACTGACATTCGCCATGTTGCGGCCCGCCAATATTCGCTCAATTGCCAATAACAGCGAATTCCGCGATATTATATTAAAGCCGAAATAACCTTACGATTTACGCGAGCCTGAGGGAGAGTCGGGGGGATTTAATTTTACTGTCATCTCTCGCAGAGAGAACAAGGCTCTTTCAAACAAAAATTTCCAGCTGCAAAGATAATTTTCGTATTATTATTTTAATTCCAGCGTGATAAACAACGTGATTATCGAATAAGATACATGTATTATAAAAATGTTTATCGGATAAGATCTATTATATATATAAAAATATTAAAAATATATTATTAAGTAAGAGCAGTATCGTTGTTATTAACGATTATTCATTCAAAGTAATTAAAATAAAAACTGACCGTTCTAAAGTAAAAAAAAAAAAATTCTTTTTAATTTAAATTAAAAATGGATATACGGAATATTGTGTGCCAATTTTAAAATGCGAGCTTAAAATGCTTTAACTCGAATAATGATTGTCGAATGATTTTTGAACATATTAGAGGCGAAATAACGTTTCTTTAATACACACTTGTTTGCTAGCTACTTTACATTTTAGATAAACACTTTCTCTATAAGTCTCAAAAGACACGAAACGGCGCATAGTAAGTCCTAATGTAAAGCGTGTTTGAGCGTGCAGCTTACGATGCGCACGTAACGGCTTAAAGCGCGCGATGATGTCTACGGAGTAACGTGTCCAAGCGCCGTTAAAGGGGTAATCATTATAAATCGTCCTCAGAATGTGTCCCCAAACGCGATCCGCGGGAATTGATAGACTTTATTTGCGTTACGTCCGACTAATGGAAATAAACGTCGGTTTGTTTCTCACGCGTTGATAATTATTACCGTGTTTTCCTTCGTCGATGATGCTTTTTTAATAATTCTGATACATTTATTCGTCATATGACGAGCCAAAATTTATTTCCTAAAGTCATCTGAATAAAGATTGTCATATCGTACATCTTTCCTTTTAATTTTATAAAATAGAAAAATATTATATATATTTAAAGATATTTCAATATTGAATTTTTTAATCTAACACTATCGCGAGGTTATCGTAGCAAATTTCGACGCGTTAAAATAAATATATTCACCACTGAAAATAGACGGCAAGAATCACCAAAAGTGGATTTATCACAGACTTTCCTTAGATAATGACATTATCGGTTTCTTATTTCAAAGACATTGAAAGAAAGTTTAAGACACAATTTATGGACATTATTTTATACCCGATAAAACTTTGATTTTCTTGAATAAAAACGTGCCTTGTATTTCGAGTATATTAAGAGTTATCCTATATAATTCCGCGAATTAAATGCAGACGATTTATAAGCAAAGTTGTCGAAATATGATACATATGTATATAACAATATTATATCGTATCATTTCGCGCGTAAACAACACGTAAAATTATCACCTAAACATCACAACACGAAATAGAACGAGGCAAAAAAGAGAATATTTTTTCCCTGAGTCTTTCGCACAAAAATTGAGCTCGTCGATAAACATTTTGCGGGAGCGAGTATTCCCGATGGAAGCAGGAAACGTAAAGTAGACAGTCCAAGGCAGGTGAGACAGCTACGCTATACGAAACAGCGCTAAGAAACATCGAACAGCCAAGAACCAGAAGCAATTGTTGCAATCGGGTGTGAAGGTATTCGTGTTTTCGTGTGTGTGTGTGTGTGTATGCGTGTATATGTTATGTGTGTGTGTGTGTGTGTGTTGCGTAAAATGCGACGCGTGTACGCAAGTTGTATGCGTACCACCCGGATTTTAACGAAATGTGTCGAAACATCTATTCAGCCGAACACATCTAGAAGGTAACCAGCTCCGCTGTGATCGCGAGACGTCGTCCCCTCGGTACGGTCCAATTTCCAATGTCGACATCGCGCGAAAGTGGCCCTTCGCGCGTCTCTCTCCGCGCGCACGTTATCGGAAAAAAAAAAGGAACGCGCTCGCTCGCGCTCTCGATCTATCCGAATAAAACACCAGAGGAACAAAAAAACTGAGAGAAAATAAAGAGAGATAGAGAGAGAGAAGGGGACGGGAGAAGAAAGAAAAATAGAATAACAAAAAGATAGAAAAAAAGGACAGAGAGAAAGAGAGAGAGAGAGAGAGTGACAGCCATCTCACCGCCCGCCACAGCTCAAAGCACTCACTAAACGTCACGGGAGAGCGCGAACAAAAAGGACTGGCCGATTGACGATGATTGTTGTTGTTGGTCAGTGTCGGTCAATTATTGCTGTCTACGTCAGCGAGTGTCTATTGGCGTCTTGGGACGTGATTTCGATAACCTACAAAGAGCACTGGCTCCTCTCTCTCCCGTGTACGGTCGCCCGCGTAGCGCCCGGACCGACGTACGCCGTGGTGCCACCTGACAGACTCCGGGAAATTCGAGAAAACGGCATTTCCTTCGGCCCATGCGCGAGAACTTTAATCGAATTTCGGGGAGTTGCAGCGCCGACAACGGCGGGGGCGGCCTCGCTTCGCTGCACGTGATCGACTCCGCCAACCGGGAATTTGAATTTTGCCGCGCCTCCCGTTTCCGATACTCTCGCGTCGAGAACGCGTTCCCTCGATATTAGAGAATCCATGCGCTAATCTCTTTCGTTCGGGCCTTTCTGCATATTCCCGCGATTTTCACCCCTCTCTTTTCCCCCTTTCCAGATAGAGAATAAACCCACGTTTGATTATCTCGTGTAAAAAAAATTTTATAGATTAAATAGATATAATTTCGGGGCTGAGATTTTGTCGATTATAAACACGATTTTCCATCTTGAATTTACATCCTCAAACATATAATTATACTGCTGAAACTCTCACATATTTTGTTACCAAAACATCTCTATTATTTACAAAAAAAAGATTTGCCTACCGCAATTTTTACGTTTTTGTTCTCGCCTACGGTAATATAAGCGGCAGATATATAAGAGCCGACATACTTTTGGAAAGTAAACTTTCCAATATTCAAATGATTATCATATATATATTAAAAGTTTCATCTTACATAAAGTAAATACATGATTGTCATCATTGTGTGTGCGTGCTCAACTCACTTAGGTCGGTATTCATAGTCGGTTCTTATTTTAAGACAGTCTTAAGTAATGTCTTAAGATGCTAATACGGCTTTGTGATTGGTTTAGGACATCTTAAAATTGTGCTTAAGACGGTCTTAAATATAAGAACTGACTATGAATACCGGCCTTAATGATTTTTCGGCATTACAGCATATTACATAAAGTAAATACATTCTTATCATCATTGTGTGTGCGTGCTCAACTCACTTAATGCGACTGCATGCTCGAAATCTCGCACCGTTCTCACTGACACACTTTTCACTTATACAAACATTAGACTTTTGATTGCTTTTAACTCGTGAACAGGCACACGACTGTATGTTTAACTGAGCGAAAGCGCGACTTTTTTGCGCTCGCCTAATGCGCGAAGTTGGCGCAAAAAAAGGCATGTTAGTAGCGCTACTTGACGGCGTGTCTTGGAATTTCTTTCCCGCTTTTTATCCACGGAGTAAAAAGAACGATTTACCGACGCAGAGTCTCTATAATAAAGCGAGAATTATAGAATAAAAATAAGAATTATAAAATCTCGAATAGTTTATCTATGAAATAATTTTTTAGACTCTGTTTGCACACGCATGGCAAGATTAAACATTTGCATTATTTAAAAATCAATCATATTACAAAATAGTCATGCGTTTTTCGTACTTTGACAATTTTTCGTAAAATATCTTTTGTACTTTGACAATCCTTCGCATATATTTTATACTCTCAGTACAACATATATATATATTTTTTAGAGTAAAAAAAAAAATAATCCTACCTATTCTTCCGACCATTTCTTTCCTTTTTATAACAGATTATCACATGATTCCATGAATCTGTTCTTTATAACTGAACTGGCTGCACTAGTTCATAATTTATCTTTCTCCTTCCAATGCGGAGAGAAAAAGATAAACTTTTCTCTCAACAGAGAGGTTCTCTGAGAGAACAGACCCAATGACGTGATCGTTCTTGTACGTTGTGTATAGTGTGTTTAGTACTTTAGTAAGTACGTGTCTACGTGCGTCGCAGTACGTTATATTTGTACATCACAATGGCAGCGCCAGTGAAAAAGCGTGAGATTCAGCAAAAATTACACGACGAAGAGGATCGTGTCTCTTCCAGCAGCGAGGACGAAGAATATGAGGTCGCGGACGAACAGGTAAGAAATAATCACGGTATAAAATTATACCGCGCGACATATCACGACACCGAGTGAGCTAACCTCATTTTCGAACATGCGGTCGCTTTCTGCTAGAAGTTTATTGAATCGGCATTCAGTTAATTTTCACTTAATTTTCACTTAATTTTCCCGATCGACACGTTACATCGTGAGATGATGAAAATAATAAATCGCGACAAAGTAATGTCTTGCATGAGGTTACGCTTTAGATCGATTAGAGTGAATGGTCGTCATTCGACAGACCGAAAAATTATATCACTGATTTAATATATTATAATGTTCTTATTTAAGCAAATAAAAGGTGAAATCTGAGTAGTATAGATTTTTGATAGATTTTTTCAAAAAAATTTTGCATGAAATCTGCTATATGTACAATAATATCTATATTGTAAAAATATTGCATGCATAATTTTTATCAGATTATATTTTAACAAATATATTTGAGACAGATTCCTTGACTATAGAATTTAAGCGTTATACTTGCAAACGATACAATCGGTAAAATGCTGTAATCAATTTTAGGGAATGGAGCTTCAATTGGATTTTGAAGGCCGTAATCCACAAGATCCAGATTACCATGGAATCAAAACATTATTACAACAACTTTTTCTCAAAGCACATATTGACTTAGGTGGACTGACAGATTTGATAATATCTCAGAATTATGTCGGGTCTGTTGTCAAACAGTCTGATGATATAGATGAATCCGATGACGATGACAATGATATTAATGATGTATTTGGTATTACAACTGTCATTAATGTTTCTGATAGGCAGGTGTGTGTAAATGTATGTGTAATGATATGTGATTGTATTATACTTCTTAAAAAATAACATTTCTAATTTCTATTTATGAATTCTTTTTAACAAAAATTGATCTTTTCAGAATGTTGCATGTATACAACAGCTTAGGGATTTATTGAAGCAAATAGCAGATGAGCATGCAACAGATGCAGCTAACACTATGATAAAAAATGTATTGGAAAATGATGCAGCGCAACTGGGTTTACTCATAAATGAGAGATTTGTTAACATTCCAGCCAAGATTTCAGTGCCACTCTTCGAAAACTTAATTTCCGAAGTGAAACGTGCCAATAGTAGAAATATGCCATTTAATTTCTCCTATTACATACTTATATGTAAACTATACAAAACAGAAGATAAAAAAATGGGGAAGAAGTCAAAGAGCAAAAATAAAAACACTGGCAGCGAACCATCTATATTGTGGAGTAATCCAGAAGAAGAGATTTTTGCAGAAAACGCAACTGTTAGTTTCGAATTCTCTGTTGAAGAAGAAGCAGACAGTGGTTTATCTGGAACATGGACTGAAACAGACGATGAAATGATACCTTATAGGCGAGTTCTTCTTTTCGAAGCTTCTAAATTGCAATCCATATTTGATAAAATACAGAATCAATTTTCTTAACTGATTCTATAAACGGTATTAATATCGATAAAAAGGCTGAGCCCACTGCAAAATTTTGTTGCAACATAAACAGAAGATGTGCTTTTCAATTACAATTTCTTTGATATCTACATATGATGAAGTGTAATTGCAATGGTATGTGCACAAAATTTTTTATAATATATCTTTTACACAATGCTTATGCTACAAACTGTTTCTATGAATTTCGCCCTTTCACACTTCTTCGTTCTTCTATTTTTATATTTCTCTTATAAATTACACTGGCAAAATATCCATCAATTTTGTATTGAACTTCTCTCATTTGTGATTTCCTTATAGCAATATAAACATAACTTTTATAATTGAATAAATAGATTTTGTATGCATAAATTTAGATTGAGCAAGATAAATAATATATATCAGATTGTAAAAAGACATTAATAATGTATGATTTAACTGATTTCGAGACTCAAATCTTTCTGGAATTACATATTGTTTTCATTTAAGCAATATCCATCACTACGATGATGCGTCTGCAAACTTGAACGACTGCCTTATTGGCTTAGCTCTCCGTCTCATAGTACCAAGAATATTTAACATTTCAGAAACTGCTGGCGACGTATTTTCCGCTTGCCGTCTTTTTCGCTCCTCTTCTCTTTGTTTCTAAAATCAACATTTTATTCAAATATATGCATATTAGAATCAATTATAAGTAATGCTATACTTTATTTAAAAACAATAGAGAACATAAGATGTCCAAAAATATTTAACAGAAATCAGAATTTTAAAAATGTTTAAGAGTTTAACGATGTGTGTGTGTTTTGAATATATTTATGAATATATTTTAGATATTTACATAGTCTGACTTTATACTTACATCTGTATGTTTTAGCGTGAAACGTCCGCCTTTGATTTGATTGATAATATCGTCAATAGCTAAAAATATTTGATATATATTATACTTCTGGTGACTGATAATTTTATTTGTGTACATAATAGAATAGAATAATTTATAACTAACAAAATAATGAATTGCATTTACCAGGTTGTGCAACCGCAGGTGTTTTTTTCGGTGCAATGCCAAGTATATTCTCCATATCACTCACAGCCGAACGCTCCGAAATCAACTTTTCTCTAGTCAGCAATTTTATCGATGATTGACCAGCCATTGATATCGGTAGTGGTGGGGGAGGAGGAGGTAACGGTGGCGGTGGCGGTTTCGAGACTTTCTCTTCTAACTCGTTGACTTTCTGCTTCAAACATCGGACAACGTTCTCCAGCTCTTCCACCGCTTTCTCGGCCCTTTCGGCTCTTTGAAGAACAACCTCTAACTCGGACTCTGCAAGCTTTAGTTTCTCTTCGACGATTTCAAATTCTACATTCGATTCTTTCTCTTCTAGTTTCTCTTGTAATATCTGTACTTGGGAAGCATGATTCTGCTGTTCTTCTTCTAATAGTCTCTTTAAAGATTCCACTTCTTGTAGAACGGCTAATAATCTTCCATTCGGATCATCTCCAATCTCGGCCATTAGAAGAGCGCTTTGGTGTGCTAAGACGTTTCGTTCTTTTTGAACCTAAACAATCAAGCTAATCAGTATGATTTATAGAATATACTATAATTTTTATTATCATTTGATTTTCAAAACCTATTTTCTCTACAATTTTTTTATAAACACATATAGTTTTAAAACAGTAACGAGAGTTTTACTTTGTAATAATCTAAATAATATTACATGCATAATTTTGTAAGGAAAATTATAATTAAGTTGTGCGCGACTAGCAAAATTAAATCGAAAATTGTAGGAATCAATGACCGACCTTTTCCGCTTCTATCTTCAGAATTTTCGCATTTTCTCTCTCGCGATCACATTGCGTTTTCAAAGCTTGCACCTCTTCAGTCACCATTTTTGTAACTCTTTCCATATTTCCTTTGTAAAACTTCATTTCATTAATTTTCTCTTCTCCTATAATAAAGATGAATGCCGGCTTAGCATGTTTTATTTATCTATCACAAGATGGATATATGGGATAGATTTTACCTTTTTGCCGGAGGGCTCTTTCTTCTTCCAACTGCGTGGTCAACTGTGTCACTTGCTCTTGTGCTTCGAATTCTTGAAGTCGCGCGGAATGAAGTTCCGTCTGAAGCCGCGCTACCTCACTGCTCAGCTCTGAAAATTGATGTTTGGTTTAAGATCGATTATTTTAATTTTGAATAAACATTTTCTTTTTATATACTATTTTTATGAATAAAGCTATAATTTAAAACTTAAATGATAGCTTAACTTCGTGTTTTAATCTCACATCTTATAGAGATGTGCAACAAGATCAATTGTACTGACCTTTCACCATTTGTCTCAGCTCATCCAAATCCTCGAAACTCTGATTATCCACTTCATCGGATAAATCAAAATCCAACGACTGCTCCGAATTATTATGTAGAAACTTTTGCGCAATAATTTGGGATCTTCGCTTGAGCTCGCGGTTTTGTCGATACCACTAATAATAAAAGTATTATTTCAGAAAACAAACAATATTATAGTTCTCTCGATTATTCTTCATGATACATTGATAAAAATCGAGATTGTAACAGATAAATTGTTACCTGAGACGCTTGTTGCATAGCTTTGTGCATTGCATTCGTTTCCACGTCATATTGACGTTTTAATTGTTCGTATTCCTTACACACTGCTTCCGAAACTGTAAAAAATTGAGCATGTAAGTGTTGATAATTTTATAAAAAATTTGTTAAATTGTATGAGGTGACTTCAAAATTGAATACATACCTGTTCGCAATTTTAGCAGCTTATGCTCCTTCTCTTCAACTTGCGATTGCAGCGTACTATTTTCTCTGTGCAATTGTTGATATTTTTTCTCCAAATCTGCGTGCTCTTTATTCACTAATACAGAACAGGAACAGATTACGACACAATGCAATGGTAAAAAAATTATTTTTTAAAATATTTTACAATATATATCTATTTTTTATTATTAAATGCAAGCAGATGTGTAGTGATGTGAATCAGTTAACAACTATCGTGATCAAGCCATCTGACAATCGGATTAGGGTCATGTAAGAATGTAGAACTATTGAGATCAATGATGTCATCGTTCGTTTCTAAAATTCGTATTACAAGACAAAATGTTATTCCATTAACTAGCTTTATAAAGAAATATCATATAGAGTGTATATAATAGCCTTTTATTCTGCAAATAAATTATGAGAGATAAGAAATTTTTTACTATATATGTAGTGCGTATATTGAAATTTGTGTTATTTTATTATTTTGCAAAGTTCTGATTAGTATATTCTTCACCTATTGCTTATCTTTTCTTTTTCTCTCTTGTTGGCGTATTTCAAATATTATTTTTAAACATTCTTGATTAATCTCTGACGCATTGCGTTACATTATGCATGAATCGCTTATGAAACACTTGTCGCTTAATTATTTGAATTACATTCAAACAACTTTAGAAGAGTTTTAGAACAGAACAACAGTTTATTCTTTAATTCTTATTCTTTTCATATAAACTTGTTCAATTGCCTCGCTGATAGTCGATCAATCGATACAAATCGTTCGAAGAATACAAATTCCGCGAATAACCGTGTATCAATAATGTTTTATCTACGTCAATTTAAAATTCTATCGTGTTATAGACGGTGTGACTAATAGAACGTCATTGCCATCGTTTTACATACAGAAGTGAATCACAACACGATAATTCGACTATATATTCTGAGTCAATCAAATTATAATCTCTTGTGTGGTGTACGCACTTTCCATTATTTATGAGTTTCTGTCAAGGAAAGTCTTGTAAAAAGATCGACGCCAAAACATCGCTCGGTTTATCATACCGAGACGCCACAAAAGAAATCTCTAAAGTAACAAGAGAAATCTTGTTTTTATCTTAAATACAAACATTTATATATATATGAATCGTTGAAAACGATCGTTTAAATCACTTTCTTTTTCTCAAGAAATATAAGAATTTATGTGAAACTGTCTAATATAAAATTATTTGATTACAGCTTTTCTTCTTTATGATTTCATAATTTAAAACATTAACAAAATTGTGTGTTCTAAAAAATAATATACAAAAAATTAGTGTATATATCGATATGTATTTGTTATCAAGACATCTTTCGATCATCGACCTAATATTAGTAGGTAAATTTAAAACCCTACCCACCATCGATGAATATTAAGCCAATGATCTACTTGACAAATCCCGTATTTGTTTTTATTGTTATTGTCTGTAACTGTTTTTATTGTTATACCCTGTATTTGTTATCCACAAATATCGATCATTGCTTGTTTTCTTTGACCTTTTTTTATTAGATTCAGTTATTCAAGAACATAAACATCGGATTAACAAAAAGACACATGAGCACGTACATTTTTACTTTATCAGTTATTTCAAAATTTAAGTTCTGGCAAAATTAGACAGGCAATTATCTAGGATTAATGTATTCGTCCATGTAATTGTTGAATTTATTTATCGCGTCATTTGACGCTTAATAATTACCAGCTTCGCTCTTTTGTAGCAAAAGCTTCCGCCTCTTTTCCGAATCCTCATATTTATTCTTCCATTTGGTCTCGATGAAGCTATTATCCCTGTTGAGCTTGAAGACGTCACTCGTCTTGTAATTGCTTACAGGCGTCGTCTTCTCTTCAGAGCCTCGCACTTCGATGCTTGAAGTTGATAGTTGATTATTATTGCGCGATCTCAACTGTACGACGGAAGCTTCAAGCTTCTCGAAGGACGCTCTTTGAGCGGCCACAGATCCGCGGCCGAGCCTCTCGAAGGATCCTCTGCGCTTTGGAGGACATCTTTCTTGGGCCTTGATCGCAGCTGATACTCTGGGCACCGGAATGTGAGAATGAATCACACTCGGAGTCGTTCTCGGTGGCTCTGTGCTCAGAACGATGTTGAATTCCGTCTTATTCATGACACAACTGTGGAAGTAAATGCACTTGTTAAACCATTTGGTATTAAGCTTTACCGCTGTTAGCGATAATGAAGTGTAATGAGGGATATTTCCTGGTTAGAATAACGTACTTTAAGTTGACTTATGTTTTTTTTCAAGTATTATTTATAATAAATTTATAAATTAATTATATATGTGATATCTGATGAAATCTATAAAGGAAATAATCAATATCGATGTAAAAAAATTTTTCATTATATTAACTATTATAATTATTATTGAAATAGTTATTAAAAATAGAGAAGATTTTCAACCAATATTATTGATTAAAAACTTTTTTATTTGCATGATCTTATTCGATATCATATATTTTTTCAAGTGACACACACGACTCCATTATGGTATTAAATATCATGTGAAATGTAATATTTACTTTGATAAGTACATTTGATATATGTTCGTTGAGAATTATATGACATTTGTCAATTATACAGAGATATAAAATTTCAAAAACTGTTTTCGTGTACGTACGTATATATTCTTTGCGGACAATATTATCGATTTTTTATTCCATCGAAATTACATAAGCGACGTGCAAATAACGCAACATTTTTACATTGAATGACTTACACATAAGAAAAGACTCTATCTGAATACATATTGCCATCGGTTGTGTATATAATATATATATATAAAGGTTAATAACATTTCTAAAAATAAACATATTGCTCTCGCCGTTGGCAGTCAAGTTCAAAATAGCTGCCATGTCAAAGTATTTTGCTCCTAATTCGGATTTCACGAATATCGAGACACTAAATTTATTCTGATGAGGATTAAATCATATTATTTAATTACCATTAAAATCCGTTATTTATCATTTTCAAAAATCGATATCAAATAGTTACAATAACAAGAAAAAAATATCATGTAAAAAATATTTACGTCAATGTTCTATAAACTGTTATAAAACCTAATTAATTGATAGTAAAATATTATAACAATCATAGTTTATTAAGAAGTATTGAACTATGAATAATAATTATCACGATTACTAATTACTATTAGATTTCTATATATTTATTTTATGTTATTTTACATAAGGAGAAAGAAAGAGAGAGACATTGATTAAAAAATATTCTTATAGTAACATCCATTGTTCGCGTTCGTTCTCGCCGCAAAATACGAATTACCGGAACAAGAGTTTCTAAAATAGAATTCGTTCAAAAGTTTATTCGAGTTAGGTTTAGTCGCACGTGTTGAGCTTCGCGGGAGCCTCCCCCGCGGGCCATTTAAAGTTAATTCGTCGGAATGTGCGTCTGTGTCAGGGCTCGTGCTCCCGTCGATCGTTAAACCGACGTCGACGGTAGGTCGAACGTGTTTCGCCTGCTTTCCCTAACCGAAGATCCGCCAGGTGTTGCGATTGCTTCTCGATAATATCGTGCATAATTACCGTTCTGGCTTCCGCTATGTCAACGCCTCTATACTCACGGCTTCTTCTCACGAACGTGAAAGTCTAGCAAAAATTCGCATGGTCGAAGACGAGGGACAAAGCACTTTAATAGAATAGAGATAACCCTCTGCATTAGAATGCTTAAAGAAGTCAATTAGCTCTTTCAACGCTAATTATCCTTTAAATATATGGTAAAACAGGAAAGGCGTAAAAATCGATACTGGAATAAACAGGGACGTACTCTTAAAAAAAGAATACTTTTAGCTCGAAAAATTTAGAAATAAAATTATAAAAGAATTTAGAAATAAAATTTTATGCAGACAAAAAAAAACAGATGTAAGAGTCCTATTTAATGTTAAGTAACTATTTGAATAAGAGATGTAGATACTATATAGCAAAGTAATATGTAAAAGTATATAACAAAGTAATTAGTACGGCTGTAGATTCCATTTTTTTAATTCATCACTAGTTGACTGTATAAAACTTTGATATTATTACACGAAGAAATATTTTAAACTTTACATTTATCAGAGAAGGTATGGAGATTCTTGTGGAAATTACTCGTTATATAAATAAATATTTTTTGTCCAAAGTAAGAAAGTATTTTAAAATAGCGCGATTATGCATACTTTATTCTTATTGATTGATTGACACTAGCAATTGTTTTTTTTTCTTGTACTAGTTACAGTGTAACTAGCGTCATCGATCGTTGCATCGTGATAATAGTACGCTATGTAATTTTACATACAGACATACACGCACAAACATTGGCGCGCATCCAACATTAATGCGAACTAACAGTGAGTAGCAAGCAAAGTGTCTGATAAAATACAATTGATAGACCACGGACTTCTTTTATATATATATCGCACTGTACTACAAAAATGTGAGAAGTAATGCTTCTAGATAAAGTATATCTAGTAGTGTGAATGACTCATAGTGGAAGGAATGATAAGTCAAGAATTTTTGGAAATTGTAAGATTGCAAGATATAATTGATAATTTAATAGACATTTAATTTTTTAGTTTGTTGCTGTTAACAGTTCAAAACTGCCAAATGTTCTTTTAATAGCAGATTTTCTTGTCAATTTGGAAATTGTGTGAGGATACTGTTAATTAAGTGATTAATACAATTTTGATATAAAAATCTATTTTTTAAAGTTCATTTATGTATCTTCTAACTCTCTCTCGATGGATTATAAATATATCAAAACGTCAAATTCTCGTTTAATAGTAAAAGAAGTATCTTTTACTATTACACGAAATTAAGAACATTTGTATTATATATAACGATGAGAAATAAAATAAATCGAACATCGGGAATATTTTCACGATATTTTTGAATATGCACGTGATATAAAATCGATCTAAACACGATTAAATTTACAATTAAAGTATGTAAATTTTATTCTTTTTTATACCGATCACAGTCCGCTTCAACGACTATCAATTCACTCTCACTCATAAGAGCAATTTAAAACAAACACCCGAGTGGCTTTTAATTATTGATCACGACGTCGTACGCGCGCTGTTGTATGTATAATGAACTTTGGAGTCATACGTCAGATCAGAAAACACGAAAGGTCCTTTCACTTTTCCTCTTTTACATTAAAGAACGACGGCTTGTTTCATTGTACGTAACACTAGATCATTTGGAAAATGACAGATGCAAAAGGGAGGAAGATCGATATTTAAGACATCTCGAATCAATTATGGAGAGAAACATTGAATTACATTTTCCTGAATCGTGATAAAAAATTTTAAATATAAATCGTATCATCTTGTATAGTTTATAACATATTATCTTACATTTTTATATTGATACGAGAAAAGTAGCGTGTCGCAGAAATTTGCATTTATCTCGTTAATTATGTTCTGTTGTAAAATAAAAGTCGTGATTATAATTTGCATTCAAAATAATGATAGACGCAAAGATAACAAATATTTCTCTCTCACAAACAATAAGAAAGATTACACTCACATTTGTTCGAAACACCACTAAACAAAGATAAAATAATTAATCTGTCGATACGTTGAGCACATCGGAACTCGCCACGGCCAGAAACTCCAAAGAACGTTCTCACTCGCGCGCGTTCGCAAGCGTACTGACTCCCCTCGTTGTAACGTTACATTATCGCGGCACTGCGAAAAAGAGCTTCGGGAATGCGAGAGTGTCGTTTCCTTAAAGTCAGCCGACCCCGGGCGTGCGCGCACGCATACTCGACGCACCTTCCGTAGAATGTGCAACGCGGTAGTTTTTGACATGTAACATTACTCGGCGATGTAGTGCGTTTTTTATGCGATTCGGCTAAGATAATCAGAGAGAGAGAGAGAGAGAGAGAGAGAGATCAAATCTTATTGAAAAAAAAAACTATTGTAAAGCAATATGCTTTGAATATAAAAATTACAAGAAAGAGAATTATATACGCTCAAAGACTTGGCAATGTAAAATGTAAATGCCACAGATATTTTTTTATATCCTTTTAACTTTTTAAGAAATTACTTGCTTCAAAAATAAATAAATAAATAGAACATGAATCACATGATATGCTTTTTAAAAGTAACATTGAATAACAATATTTTCTTAGCAAAGCAATAAAAGTTCTTATTGACCGACGACCCTTGCATTTGATTGAGTCATTCATTGATTAAAGAAAAGAGTCTTTTATTCTTCTGTTCTCACATTCCGATACGAATAACTTAAAAAATCGGATAATTCAGAATATATTTTCGTCGCGTGTTTGAAAGGAATTTACGCAGTTAGTCAGCAGCTGAGTACACAGAAAACGTATATAGAGTCATATATATAGAGTAAACGTATATTACAAGTAATGAGTTACAAGTAATGAATAAAAACTCATATATTTATCGGCAGAATCGCTAAAAGATTTTACAGATCAATATCTAGAGAGAATTTGAATGTTTGCCAAGCATAAAAAAGGACAACGGATTATGCGGATGTCTGCATGAAATCGACAAATGGCAAAATTTACACCAATAATGAGATAATTAAATCTATATAATGAGATATGTAAAACTATGTCTTTTCATTACAAAATTAATGGCAATTGTTAATTCTATCGATAAATTATTCTCATTTCATTTAAATGAGAATCTTTATGAGAATAAATTATGAGAATAAATTATCGAATTGAAATATAACAATTGAACAAAATGAATTATAACAATGTGAAATTTTAGAATAATAAATTTAATTTAAATGTTAAGTCAGGTGATCTGTTACAATCTTTATTGTATACAGAATACAACATTGACATATATCATAAACATAAACATTCTCCAGATGTGTCCACGTCGCTTTCTTTCCGCAAGGTCGATCTTTTAATTTTTATAAAAACTTTTATCTCGACAATAAATGGCTTAATTGCGATAAAAATACAGGTGCGAATCTTAAGCGATATATCATAGATAGCTTAGAAGAATTCTGTGTAAGAAAACGGCGGACAGCAACTCTGCATAATTATGATGATAACAGTCTTATCCCGTATAGTCTCGTATGCAGCTGCATACATAGAATCACGAAAGTATATGTGCTTAATATACTTTGTATACGTTGAGTCATTATTTCTGAATAATCCTCCAGCAATTCTTTGTCCCGTATAAGTCGTTACGGAAACGCATTGTTGTCGCGGTTTCGCACAAATTATCATAAAGAAGATGTAACTATATATATTATATATATTATATATATATTTTCACGTTGGAAAATAAATAAATAAGTAAATTCCAGCATCCCTTCTTACATCAATCTTACGGTTGAGAGAAAATAGGAGGGATACTGGAACTTATTTATTCATTTGTTTCTTTTTCAAAGCAAAAAATAGTCTCTTTGGCGTACAAATTAAAAGTTTTCTTCTGAGATGTCAAATATTTATATTTTGTGAATATATATATATATATGTGTGTGTGTGTATATATAATATATATAATATATATAGACACATACTTATGAATTTACTAAAACTGTTAAAGTATATTTTTCTTTGTGGTGAATTTTTCGTGATATATTTCTTATTATTTTTCTAGAAATTTATTTATTAAGAAAAAAGTCTGAGGGGATACGAAATATGTAAAAAATTCGTGTTATTTACTTTATCTTTTAAGACTTAATTTGAACTTTGCGTGTGAAATATATTGTAATCAAATTTCGATCTAAAGATTAGTTAGAAACTCGCTTCACAATAATGATAAAAAATGATGTGCAAGCATTTGAATTTTCAGAACAAAGTGATGTGATTCCGAAACATTTTATACATCAGACGACAAGTTCAATATTATGAAATGACAATTCAAAAATCGCAATTATGCGTGTCGATGATGTTTAACGGGGTTCGTTATGAATAATCTATCTTTGTGCTTCAAAGAGAAGAAGAAAGAAAGAAAGAAAGAAGAGAGAGAGAGAGAGAGAGAGAGAGAGGTACATCTATGTTATAGAATATTAAGCAATTATGCAGAAGAACGATCTATGTATTATACGCGTATAAAATCTATAGCAAAAACTAAAAGAACGAACTTTTACGTGGATCTTATTTCAGGACGCACTTGGAGAAGACAAAGATAAAATATAAATCCGGTTCCTCTGTCAGGATTTGATATTGAAGGATCAACATGTCTTCTCTTTTTAACATAATCAATTATTTTTAATCATACATGCGTATTTACTAATGAATGTTATTTGGACTCATAATTAGTTATATTATTTCTCAAAAAATTAAGTATCAATTATCGCTATTATAATTTCGAATACGATCTCAATGTTTCAAAATTATGAGTAGTAAATATTAATATTTAATGTCATCTATATTTATTAATTAATTTATATACAATTTATAAAAATAAAATATATACAAGTGTTTTTACACAGCAGTATATTTTTATATTAAAAAAATCTAACGAGGAAACTTCAAAGAGGGCCATGAAATCCTTCTCACGCACTTTCGATAAGGATTGTAAGAAAAATAATAGCGTAAATTATACTATATTGTGTATATACGTAAATCGGCGTACCTTTCACAACCTTGAATCGCGCTTTCGATCGTTCGCGATGTCTCGAATTGTGCGCATTGTACCATCATTAAACAGCTTTATTGTCTAGAATCATCCTTCCCTGCTTCCCTTCGCAACCATAGAGATGCATGACTCATGCTCATTACTCGTATAACGGGTGTCCCTGTGTTTCGTGGAAATTGATAAGCGAATTGGATTAAGATTACATCAAAGTGGACAGAATATTTCAAGTTACATGATTCGTTTTGGCACGTGAATATATATATTCTTTACTAATAACAAAGACTGCGCTCCAAATCAGGATATGTTATGCTCTTACTTTTAACTTTAACTGTATTTAATTTTGTGCCTCCTTCTCTGAAAAATTGTTTTAATTTTTACCCTTTCAAGAGAGATTTCAAATTATAATCGATAAATTAAGAGCAAAATAGTATAATTTTGCGACAAATTTTATTATATCATTTAATGTGTTTTTAAACAACTTATCTTCATATTACCTACATTTGTATAATGATCAGATATGTAGTAGTGTATTACGGCGTTATTAGTGTACTGCTACTTGCTCGACCGGAGATTCGTTTTTTACGAAATGTTCCTCTCTCCTTTACCAATGATACAATGCACTTCCTGCGCATTGCATGATGTAATATAATCATTTTATGATGGCTGAAATGAGGAAATGTATACTTGTAATTTACAATGTTCGTTTGAACGCTAATTGCATTGTCGTTATTAAATAATCGCCCAGTAAACTGATATTTTTCCTGATATTTTTCTGATATATACATTACATTTTTATTACACATTTTATTATATATATTATATTTTTTAATACATATATGTAAAGCGAATTATTTTAGCAGTTTTATGTCAATTTGAATAATATATCTGAACTTTCAATAGAATAATTTTAGCACATAATCATTGTCATTATCGAGCGTCTGACAAATATATCTTTTTATCATTAATGCAGTTTATTTATGTGACTTTATATACTATAGAGAATTTTATAACACATTATTTATAAAAATTTAGAATTCATGTAATTTAATATTCAACCAGTATATTTGATTAATTTACCAATTTTGCCTGATGCATGATATCAGACGTGACTTGCCTTGAAGCGAAATTCAATGTGTTGTAACGTTCAGACAAATTCACGCATATGCAGTAATGCAAATGTGAACCCAGGTATCAGTAGCGTACATACTTCGTGGAATAGAAGTTAATTAATACAATAAGTAGAATACACTCCTAAAGTTTAGTCCCTTATTTTAGAAATACTCTGTAACATAGTATTAATGATATACGTGCTTAAAATGTAACATACATTTTATATATCACATTTTATATATTAATACATTTTATATATCAATAACATAAATATTGATAAAAATTATAAAAGATTTGTACAGAGTACCAAGAAGCGCTCTATGTTGCATCTAGGCATGGGTCTGCCGAAGTTGGCTACATGATCGATGACGTATGTTACGCATGCGCACGAAAGTCCCGCCTAGTGAAATTATTACCGCGATCTTTTTGTTCGATGATGTCGCGTTACTTCGTACGCTTGTGTGCGCATCCGGCGAATTTGTATTTGATTGATATTCGCGTGACGGAAATGCAAGGTGATAATGATGACCTATGATGACAAGACTGGCACAGATTACCAATGATTGTGCGTAATTTCCGCTATTTTATTATCGCTCGGATGAATGGTCTTTCAACCGAATTAATAGATCGTCAAAGCTATTGATTATCCATATCACAAACGCATGATAAATCTGCGTTTATTGTCCTTTTTAATCATAAATGAACTTGTCCCTTGTTTTCCTTCTCTTTCTTTTTGTCTCTAATCATATATATCTTTTGTTCCTTTTTTAATTACAGAAAGTGTGTGTAAACAAAGTATACAAGTTGAACAAAGCTGATGCATCCGATCCATCATTTCGAAAGGTTTTTGCGACACACAAGGTAAAAGACAGAATATTGCTAATATCACTTTATTTTTTTATATCTTATCAAAATGCAATATATGGAATTATACCACAAACAATAGCGATAATGTTATTCGCGGATTAGGTCAGTCAACTATTTAAAATCTGATAAAAAAAAAAAGAGAAAAAGTATATATACCTCTCTATTTAACATTTCTATGAATTATGTATTTTTTATTTATAAAGATTTATCGATATAAGATTTATCCTTTCTTTTAAAAATAAAAACAAAATAAGTTGCGATAGACGAAGAAACAATAAAAAGATGATATGATATATAGAACAATATATAAAAGATGTAAAGAGAGATTAAAAAACTATTAAACTTTACTATTATATGCCTAAGTATGTAGTTTTTTCGATTTAATTATTTGCACGTACTGTTTATTTTATCATATTAATATGCGCTATTATAAGACTGCAATTTACTCTCTATTCATCACTGAAAATTCAAATTATGGACAATGTTACTGCTCGACGTAGCGTGAAATGTAAGAATCAATAATTATCATATACTACACGCTACCGTACACGCGTCCGCGTGTACCGAGATACGTCTTGTCTCTTGGCGGCGCCGACAGACCGCGCGCGTAGTTTATACTGCGCCTGTCCGATTGAAATCCCGGCAAGTCACTTTCTCTCCTCTATTCGCGAGAGCGATTCAGTATTTGTCCCCGATAAAGGCTCCTAAAGGTTTAATCTCGCGATTTATCTTTCCCGCGAAAACCGCGCCTATGCGTAATCTGTTGGAAAACGCCCTGTAACCCAAAGAAAGACTCTCTTTGCGAAGCGGGAATGCGAGCGTTTTATGACGGCTCGACGAGGAATGCGGAGTACGTTCCTCGCGTCGCTCGACAGTGATCGTGCCTGTCTTTCCGCTCCGCTTGGCGAGATCACGCGAACGATGGATCTGCCAGCGCGATAAACTCGCGACGACTCGATCTTCCGGAGAGTTTAGAGCGCGGATTCTCCCGACGTCATGACGCGTCTACGAGGTCGAGCCTCGCTGATGGTCATCGTGACCATCAGCTTCATCTTGCTGATTGTCATATATCATATACTGAGTAACGAGATTGATGAGATATCGTCAGGGAAGATTGCTCGATTGAGACCAGAGGATATGTATTCTCCAGGTGAATTCACTGACAGCAGTGACAGCCCGTCCGGTAAGCAGCAAGTACAGATGATGCGAGATTTGAAAACTGGTAGGAACAGACTGTTTAATGAATTAACTCATGATAAATCGTTTGCAGATGGCACTCCGCTATTCAAGGGCCATAAGATCGTTCACCTAGACCTGAAAGGCGCTCCACCGAAGATGAGCTATTATAATTATCTGTTCCCTTTGCTGCGAAAGCTAGGAGCCACTGGTATACTTGTGGAGTACGAGGACATGTTCCCCTTTGCAGATAGTATCGAGGACATTCGTGCTGGCAATTCTTATTCCAGGAAAGATATTGTACAAATTCAAAATATAGCCAAGAATAATCAACTAATTATTATACCGTTGATACAAACCTTTGGTCATATGGAGTTTGTTCTCAAATTGGATAAGTATAAAGACTTCCGGGAAGTTCCACATTATCCGCAAGTCTTGTGTCCTACATATAATAAAACACTTTCATTGATATATGAAATGATAAACCAAGTTGTTTCGACACATCCAGCATCAAAATATTTGCACATAGGTGCGGATGAAGTTTATCAAATAGGAGAATGCTCAAGATGTTTAGATGTTATGTCTAAAAAGCAATGGGGCAAACGACAGCTCTTTCTGGATCATGTCTCCACAGTAGTCAAATATATTAAGGAAAAATATCCAGAACTAACTGTACTTATGTGGGATGATGAATTTCGTGATATATCACCGCAAGAAATCATTGATAGAGGCTTGCACTTGACAATAGAACCAGTTATTTGGAAGTATACTACTGACCCTGGTACGACATTAACCGATCAACTATGGGAAAGTTATGCTGCAGTCTGGAAGCAAGTCTGGGTTGCAACTGCATTCAAAGGAGCCACTTCGCCAGACAGATATTATACAGACATTTCGTATCACATGGAAAACCATCAAGGTTGGTTAGAAATCATTCATAGATACTCAAATCAAATTACATTTAAAGGTGTCATGTTGACTGGATGGCAGAGATACGATCACTTTAGTGTTCTTTGCGAATTGCTGCCAGTAGGACTACCATCTCTCGCTATTAATCTAGCTGTATTACAAGCATCAAATCTAAATGGCTTTCCTATAGAATTACCTAGTCATATATCTGAAATTTTACAATGCGATGGTGTGATTTCATTGAGCATACCAGAACCACAGTATGGCTGGACCAAGTGCAGTTTTCACGGAATGTCTGTATATGCAACCATTTTACGTCTTTACTCTTTGACGCAAGAAGTAATGAAAATGGAACAGGATAACACCTACAAGGGATGGTTAAAACCATACAATATTAAGTATTCTTTTGCAAGTCCTAGTTATGTCGAACGTGCAGTCACTGATTTGGATAGGCATAAAATGGAAATAATGTATATTGAGAAAGAAATGCGTACAGCTATGGAAGACATTTATGACAATTATACAATACAAGAATGGTTAGAAACATATACTGCACCATTAAATGAAAAGCTTAATCAATTGTGGGAAGCCAAGGAGAAACTTTTAGAAAGAAATACATGGCCGAGAAGACCTCTTACAAAATCAGACTTATAGTGAAAAACAGTTTCTTTGGATAAGTAAGTAAACATTCATCATATTCTTTGTGGTATATGGTAAGAGACTGAGAATTTTATTAAAACAATAAGAGAAAAGAACACAAACAATTTCTTAGCGATTAATCTTTAAAAATGGCGTGGATAATCAATGAAATATAAAAGTTTGAAACTCGTAATTTTACATCTTGAACAATTGTTGTACAGAGTATGTGATAATTTATAATTTGATATAAGGAAAGAGAGAGAAATCAAATCATATTAAATGCACCGTCCGTAAATTTATAAATCTATCTTATCTCGATAAATAAGATATTATATATCTTATTTATCTCGATAAGTAAGATATTATAGAAATTATTTCATTATTTAATAGAACTAATAATAAATATTTCTAATGTAAATCACCAGTTTTACAATTTTGAAAAGCTTTCAAAGAAATATATATAATTGTTCTTTCTCTTTGACTCTTCAAAAGTCTGAAATGCGAAATTGGTCTGGACAATTTAAGATAGACGGTGTAGATAAAAAGAGAGATAGATAGTAATATTGATAAATATTAAAAAATATATTGATAGATATGTATTAAACGATATAATTTTGCAACATTAGAATTCTAATATGCTAATTTATTGAAAAATTATTAAAAGTATTATTTAGACAAATATTATTGTATTTCAAATTATTGTATTTTAAGAGATTTTGAATTAATATTGTTATTCTATACGTAACATATACAAGCTGCTCTTTCCAATCATGTATGCACAGATTGCTTTTTCTTCATTTTATGTCTTCTACTTATAAGCATGGCCACTATGAACAACATAATAATTAGTGTTAGGTTTTATTGGTACGTTCTTCGAAAAGATATTAGCAATAAAGTATATTAATGCAATTAATTAAATTAATATATTGGCTCAAGTGTACTAGCGCAATATCTGCAATTTTAATATAAGCAGGGAGTCGTGCCATAAACAAGTAATTGCATTGTTATGCTAATCAGATAACTAAAAGATAAAATTATTAGCTTAAATTGAAAGCTTTTTCTATGAGGTAAAGAGAGGAAAACGTTCTCAATTGAAAAATACGTATTGAAACCAATAATATTCTATAAAAAAAAAAAAAAAAATATCTTGTATAACGATATTTGTAAAGTATAAAAGGAATATAAAGAGAGTATATTGAAATATTTTAGTTATATTGAAGTATATTGAAGTATTTTAGAGTGTGTTTTTTTATATATTCTTCCAAAATATAACTAGTAAAGTAGCTTTATTGAAAATTTTTATTTTTACCTTACAGAATTATTTATATCAAATCTTCAATTGCGCCTCTAGTTACAACTTTTCGATGAACGCACCTTATAACATAATATTTAATAAATCTTCCTAGCAATTTTAGATTCTTCCGCAAATTTTTAAGATATACGTTCGTCTTTACTATATTATGCGCTTTATTATAATTTTGTAATCATTATTATTAATGTATGAAAGTATTTTTAATGTTGTTATATAAAATATAATTATATTGCGCGTGTAATTATTAGCATAATTAAAACGAGAGAAATACGATTAATAAATCTGTTTTTAAATCTACTGTAGAAATTTTATAATCATATGTTTATTCATTGGCCCCGTATTACATAAATATGATATTTATTTTTTTATCTGTTATCAATATACATAATAAATAAATTAAAAAGTGCGATAGACAAATATATCATTTGATGCATTTATACAAGTGGGACAACCGTAAAAAATACAATACATTCTTGACAGTTATGTACTATTTTCTATTATAATTGCATACTTAAATAAATGGAATTTATGTATCAATTATAATGTTAAATTGATTGAACGTTGAATTGTCCAAGACATCACGTATGAAATATAAGAGTGTTCTATAGTATATAAATATATTTATCTATATTATAGCTACAATCGCGTAGTATGTACAATTTTTGTTGATTCTTACATTTACGTTAGAGAAATTCATATATATTTTATTCGATTTGAAATGATATTCTAAGGTATATGATGATCATCATTGCAATGCACATACCGCGGATTTCGAGATAGGAAAACGTGGATTGAATGCAATTGGATGTTGTTTTCTCTTGGGAATTCTTTTTACCACTTTGTGTATTGAACTCATATCTACTGTATCTCCAATTTCAGCAATAATTATAGGTTTATGAAAGTCTTGATCCGTTCTTGTCAATCGGACACCCAAAATCTGCGCTGCCAAATTTGCTATGCATAAAGATACCTAAAATTAATATAATCTCTTTGTAATTTTTATATTAATCTAAATATGTGAAAGATATACCGCTTTCTTTTACAAAGTTATTACGAGAAAAAAAAAAATTACCGATTCTCCGGTTCTCGCGGACATATCGTGATATGGAAATCCGTTTTCCGCGGCAAATCGATGCGACCTATCTCTCTTAACTGTTCTCTGATGCTCCATATCGCATTTATTACCTACTACCACTATTAAAGGCGGTTCGTCGTAAGTGTCAATGAAGTTCTTGATTTGATTGAGCCACTCTTCTAAGATATCGAAACTCGAACTATTTGTGACATCGTACACCAGAAGAATAATCTGATTCGTAGGAAAGATACATATAAATAAAATTGCAACGATATAAAATCATAGCACACAAATAAACAAAAATATCGAAAGAATATACGAAATAAAATTTATTTTGATAGTTTTATAATCGCAAAAAGAAATTGACTTTACGTGTGCTCCGAAAACGTATTTGTCCAACATGTTCCCGTGCAAAGCGAGTCCACCGACGTCCCATAGATGTAGATTAACATTCTTGTAACAACCGATGGTGATGTTTTTGAGAAAAAAGTCGATGCCCGCGGTAGGTATGTACTGTCTGGTGAAATCGTTGTTGCAAAACTTCTGGACGATGCTGGTCTAAAGAAGGATCCTTGAATTTCAATTATCAAGTATCACGCTAGACAATCAATAAAATTGGTAATGATACTTATACAATGATTGTCCAACTCGAAAGAAGACAAATTGAAATTGTAACAATAATACTCAATAAACTTCGCGCGATTTATTTAATGTCAGATTAAATTCACATTTATACATTATTTTTAAATAGATTTTCAGTAAATTTATCCCGTTAATTATGTTAAATATATTACGATAAAATATATCGATCTTTCTTTCTTGTGACTTGCGACATTTGTCACCCAACGAAACGATATAAAAGAAAATAGCTTAGAAGGTTAATAAATTCATGCTTGGCCTATATAGTTAGCCTCATTAATTCAAAAACCATCGATTAGAAAATTTGTGTTTGCCGATTGACCTTATTGTCATATTATTGGCAACTAGAACAATACTGCAAACGTTGCATGTTTGCAAAAGTTTTCGCATTAGATCCGAGAAACACGAAGTCTCGCGCGGTCAGAGGCTTCATCGATCCAAGCTCGCGTATTACATTCATTACGTTAATCTATAGCGCTTAACGCAACCATATACCATTATATTGTGTAAAGAAAAGCATATGTAATTATTAATATAATTATATTAGTAAAGCAATGTATATTATTAATAAAATCTTTTTACAGCAATAAACCCGTACAAATAAATAAATATTTGTAGAAAAAAAATGAAAACGTATCAATCTTTCTGTCTATGCACAGTCGCGCGAGAAAGAATATTTATCAAAGTACTCTTCAACAATAACGCGTAGCTCACATTATCACCTGTTGAAAGACTCTCAATTTTCACCATGGCAATCGGCAAACAAATTTAAAGCCAGACGCAGCTCGCGTTAATATAAATAGCTATCTTTCGGAAACTGCGAGCACCGAAACAACGGGATCATCCACCTTGGCGCGCACATTCGATCGAGGACGTGACAGACTGAAACTCACTTTACCGGCACCGGAGTCACCCACGAGCACAATTTTCAGCCGCTTCTCGGCCGAATCCGCCTCGACGTCCGACATGAAGGTGCACGGTGAATTGACAGCAGCCCTTTGACGGAGTCATGCGAATAATGGCATAGCTCGACGGCGACCACCGGGACGCGGTCCTCGGCCGACTATAGCACAACATATAATGTAGCAGCTGTTCGCGTGTTGTGGCCGACGAAGTCCGAATCGACCGACAGCGGTGGCCAGTGCGGCGTCGTCGTCGTCGTCGTCGTCGTCGTTTACTCGCGGGCATGAATAAATTAACCAATAATCGATAATTCGCGAACCATTCGTGCGTACTTTGCGGCTAGCGTAAATTTCGAATACGAAGGATACTTTGACACTGACATGCGTAATGTTTTTCTCCTTCGTGATGACACGCCTGCATCTGGCTTTAACGCGAAGAAAGAAAAAAAATATTTGCGAAATGTGGATGTTTCCAGACAGTTTGGAAATTTATTAAAAATAAATATCGCAGAAAAAAGTAAATATATAATGCAGAAAAATTTTAAAATACTTGTGATATTAAATTACAATTATCATGTCATTGTATTATCATACAATATAAATTTTATCTTCTTTATCTTCTTTTATTAATTTTATTTTCTTATCGCGCTAGTATTATTTTACGTTAATACCTTAACAAAGAAATATCGGAGAGCTTTATATTTAGGCACATGTTTGTTTAAATTCATCAACAGGAACGCAATAAAACTCGATGTGAGAATCGATCATTAAAATTCGCGTCAATTAAAAATTAAATCCTTATAATTTTGCAAAAGATAATAGTTTGATACTCTGCAACAAGTAGTTGTTCTAACGACAGTCAGTCTGTCAGCTCGCTCGAAATTTGCTTTGACGATTTCATAGTATCTTCCATCGCTGAAACAAAACCATATTTCTCTTTTATACATACTGTTTACTTCATTTTATAATTCTGTTTATCTCTCTTTGAGCTTACCTTAAACTTAAACATCTTAGCTTAATGCATTTGACACGTAGGATATCAATGGCTTTTTGACTTTTATCGGAAAATCGCAAATTTTCTGGATCCCAGCGTAATTCCAGACGCTCTAAATCAAGACAGTTATTGGCAATTCCATCCATCAGCTGATCCACGTGAATATTAACACCTAGTCTCTCTTGAGTACCCATTACAAGTATTCTGAAACATTACATGAACACACGCATCAAGATCATTAAATTCTAATAAAAACATAAATGATGAAAATTCATTAGCATAATAATAGGGACAGGAGAGAAATTTTTATCATTGTAATAAATAAAGAAAACAAGCTACGCGAATATAAATTTGAAATTCTATCAAATGTGAAACATATGATTATAGCTATTTTTAATTAGTGTATAACTTGCTATAACTTTTACAGAGCGAATTTAACAATAAATCACGTTTAACACATATACATTTTCATTTGTAGAATATACTTATACGAAGTTAGTGAAATCATAAATACTCACTTTGCATTTGTGAGAATCGGTAGTACACTTTGCCATAGCTGATCGGTAATATGCGGCATGCCTGACAAAGCAAGGCCGTACAGCTGATGACCATGTCTAGACAGAAATTTATGCAAGGCATCGTCGCTCAGATTATCGGAGCTATCCAGATCTAGCGCTATCAAGTTTCGCGGATTTCCGACTTCGGTCCATGCTTTTAATACACTGTCATTGAAACCGTTCAGTTGACCGGCACTCAAAAAGCGAAGGCCAGGAATCCTGGTCAGCATATCGATCAAGCATTCCGTCGACAGATCGGTGGCGGTAACATCGAGTTCCTGGACGCTGGATTTTTCCCATTCGACTTGCATGACGTACTCGCTCTGGAGATCTAAAAAGCGTATATTTAGTTGAGATATACGCATATGTAATCTCGTTAATAATATCAAAATATATTGTAATATTTTTTTTAAAGAGTAACAAGAGATTTCATCCATCTCTTGACTTATGTTATCAGAACAAATAAAAATTTGCGACATAGATTAATCGATTTGAATGAATATCCGCGCGAAATAAGTTATATTTTCTTTAAAAAAATGAATCATGGCAAGAGAAATATACGTTTATAACGTCAGAGATAATAATATCTCACTTGTTCCTTGCATAAGAAGACATTTCAGTCTTCTGCTCCTTTGAAAGAGAGTCTTCATGGTCGAACCGGTCACTTTGGCACAGAAATTCACGGCTAAGCATTCAAGTTGGATGCAATTAGAGGAGAAAGCATCAATATGCGAATCATCCACAAAGTTGATTCCGTATAAATTGATTACCCTCAAATTCGGCGTCGCAGATTTGAGTTTGTGAACATTAATTACCTCGTAAATTTCCTCTTCCTCTTCTTCGACCTTTTCGTATGTTCCTAGAAAATAATAGATTTTATAACAAATTTATTAGATTTTGGCGATATGTTAATGCATATTGAGATATTGTGTATATATATGAGATAGTATAAAAAAAATATACGATTTTATTCTTAACTTTTCACTAACCGATCAAATGAAGAATCTCTAAACCATTAATAAAGTTGTAAATTTTTCGCATAAAGCCTTCCATAAAAATAACCTCAGATAGGCATATGCACATATATTTCAATTTTGTTGGGAAAGCTTGCATTTCCGAGAAATCGTGCAGTTGCATAGCAGTCGAGAAATCCAATAACATGTGCGTTAAATTTGGACATTTATTAGCTAACTCGTGAAGAACTGTGTGAGTGATCAATTCTATTGGTAATTCGATATATCTTAATGACGGTCCAAAACGTACGCTGTAAATATTAAATTGTCATTGTTTTACATTGTGTTCCATATATAAATTAAGAGTAAATTTTATTACTTTTACAAACACACAAAATAACATTTTTCAGATATAAATATTTTTACATCTTTAATTTTGATTTACGTATATATCGAACTCTTTAGATAAATTAAGAAAGTAAATGAATTTTCCAAGTATTATTTCTGAAATTAATAATTTTATTCACATTGGACTTTCTTCGTCTTTAAAAAGCTTGTGCATGGAAGTCAAGAAATATTTGAAAAGCGCATAATTAGGTATTACGATCTCGCGTCACCTGATTAAATGCAGTAGATTTTCCAGAGAGCTCACGTGAAGCCCGCTTATTTCTGGTCTTAGAGACACGTGCTTCCAAAGACGCGTGTCATACGCAATTTGTCGCCAACGTTTGCAAACTCGAGCAACCCTGCATATTTCGCGATGCGACAGATAGCAAAAAACGTTCAGAAGAACTTTGTCCGGTAGTTTCTCTATTGTCTGCAAAAAAAGGGACATAATTATCAGCGTGTAATAAGTTTTCAATGAGATACATTTTAATTGAATGATGTTTTTGGAAATGTTAACGATACATCATTGATCGATTATTGAATGATTTGCGAAACAATAAACAATCGATTGATATTATCACAGCTTAAATCGTACAATTTTTCACGCATGTCACTGTCTTTGTATATCATTAACGCGTATTATTCAGATGTTGGCGCAATATCAAGACAGATTAAACTTGAGATATACTATCCGTTAAGCTTTTCTTCTTCTTGCGAAATCAAGCTATATTTATTAATTTTTTTGAATATCGAGTTTATTTTTTTTTTTTTTGCAAAATCTCTACATAAAAACATATTTGAAAAGTTTAGTTTAGTAAAAGGGATTTTATAGAAAGTACGTAATAGAGATATAGATGTTAATCCGTTTATAAAAGTTGCTAATGATTCACACCGAATTCCATGAAATCCAACAGTGATATAAACGGACTTTGTGTTAAGTCGCACCGTTTCACGAGAGATAAATTAAAGATCATGTTATATCAACATTAAATAAATCAACAACTTACAGTACGACTCTTAGCAGCACCACCCTCGGAAACGTACATCTGAGACGTTTCCAGGGCAATCTGGCCCCAAACGTCCACACCACCGAGATCCATGGTGCTGCTTCTTTTAACGTTAAATTCGAATGAAAACGTTTATTTTATTTTAGCTTTTGTTGATTTTTTTCGCGTGCGAATTTATAGAAAGTATATTTATTTTTTTTTATTTAATAAAAAATACTATTTAATTTTTCGTTCTCTCTCTTTTTAATTCAAGGTCACTTTCATTTTGGCTCTTTAGTTAAACATCACCATACCATATCACGATTTATTTCAGCATGATTTTCACAAACTAAATGTTACATATGAATTTTTAATTTGCGGATTTAAATGTTTTCTCTAACGTGGAAAATTTATTTATTTGGTGAAAACACACGAGGTAAATTATTATTCGTTGTTACACTCCGTCTATTAGAATCGCGACACGAAGCAGAATTCGAGAAAGCTCAAACTACAAGTCTTCAGTGCTTTTAATCGGATCGCGCTTGCGCGTCGCCCTAAATATACGACTTGGAAGGCTTGCCTGTACTTTATTTTAAACCCCACCGGTTACATCAAAACGCCGGGATACTAGTTTTACATTTTTAATGAAGTTTATTTTCTGTGATAAGGAGTCTCCCAATTTAAAACATCCGATTTTACTCGATCACTGTAAGCGACAGATTTTCCTAAATCTTTGTCAATAGAAAAAGCAATTCTCTTGACGAGTTTTTATCGGTTTATTTTTATCAAATTTTTGTACATTTAATGTGTGTATTGCAATTTCTGCTACATAAATATTAAATAATACAGAATTGAGTGGCAAATTTCTTCATGTTGTGCAATAAAGTTATTTATCTATTTATAATATATAAATATCACGCTAATGAAAAACATTTTTTAAATTATATAACTTTTTTGATTTTATACATTTGCTTTTGTTACAAAACAGTTTGAACAAACTAGAATTAAATATAATATTTATATTTTTTTTATAAATAACAAAATAAATTATTAAAATAAACAAAATTATACTAAAAAATATGAATTTCTGTAAATATAATTGGATCAACTAATTAATTTAATATTTACTTATTTAATATTGTTTACTTATTCCCTTGCATTATAGACAAATGTTACAAAGATGTTTTTGCAAATTCATACTGTATATATATAATATTTATATAGATATATAATATTTGCAAAAAAACGTTTATTACACTTGTCTGGAATAAAAGGGAATAATAAACCATAAATAATAAATTAATTATATATTTTCTTAATTTGATTATATTTACAGAAATATAGATTATGCGGAAAATAGTATTTCTAATGGCTCTCGACGTAATAATTGGCACGATTTCAATGTGATATACTTAATGAATTACTAGCAACAGGTTACGCATATATCGTTATGATTAAAGTGTTTAAGTTTCGTGTTAATCGGCGAAGTTAGTGACCTAGGAAACCAATTACCTAAGAAATTGAATTATTTCCTAATTGAGAAATTGAATTGTTATAACAGGAATTATGTCTTTCTTGATTGTTTTAATGAAATATAATAATAATATATTTTATA